TGATCGAGTCATGACTAGTCGATATACGCAGAATTTATCACAATTCTCTTACAATACTCATAATAAACATTCTATTTACAAAAGATCAATGACAAATAATAGTGCGTTTTCCTTATTTTCTTTTGCGCATTTTTACAAATTCGTAAATTCTCGTGATTTTTTTTCTAGTTTCTAGTCATATTCATTATAATAATATACTTTGAGACCTTATACAGGCGTACGCATATCCAGAAAAATTCACGAAATATTATTATCAATTTTTTTTAAAAATAGGTACTACTTCTGATCATATTTATTCTGATCCCGAAAACGTTCGTGAAGGTTTTAAATCAAAGAATTATCGTAATGTCCGCTCATTCACTAACCCCGATCAGTCAATACAATCATCTGGTTCGGGAATATCAAGTGCTCCTTTATCACCTTCTAAAGTAGTAAAACAACAATTTTCTGTTGTTAATCCTGCTTTACTATCAAAGGTTTCAGATTCATTTCGAGCCCGGATTACTCTTTCAAATAGAATGAAAAATAATCTTGAATATAAAGATTGCTTTGATGGAAGAGAGGCTGTGGTATTGTTTCATCGCTGTATATGAATTTTTTTTGTTAGAATTTTAGATATGAGTTTCATTATTTTTTTTCTATTATATTATTATTCTAAATTTAATTTATTATTCTAATTTCTATTTTAAAGGATAAGATCGCCTTTATAATAAAGACTACTGATAGGAATTTAGCTTTATTACTTGGTCGTGCTTTAGACTCTCAAAAATTTTTTCACGATGTAACATATGATCATCGACTTCGTGATTCTCAGAATGAATTATATCAATTTAAAAAAATGCCTTCAATTTTATCATCAAGTGATAATTATGAAGATTCTGAAGAGAATGACTTACCAACTGGGGTATTTACATTATTAACCGATTGTTACTCTCCTACGTGTACAAGAGATAATTTATGCTACAGCATTGCTTGTCCTAGAAGACTGGAGCAGGTAAGTATTTGTATAATTTTCATTTGGATCTAATTGTGATTGAAATTTGATTACTTAGGCAATTTTGAAAATTTTAATAATATTAATATAGCATGCAAGAAAACATAGGAAGCCAAATCAAGATCTTAACCGTTCATCAAGTCGTGGTTCTATGACTGATAGAAGAAAGGTAATTATGATTTTTCG